TTATCTGAAAAAATATGAAAAATTATATGAAAAAAAATATATGAAAAATCATTATAAAAAAAAACCATTAAAATCATTAAATCATTTTTTTCATTGTATGAAAAAATTATGAAAGATATTTTTAAAATAGCAAATTGCAATAAATATACAATAAATCTAGAAGACTATCTTCATAAACGCGTACTGTTTGAAAAAACATCTTATATACTAGCCTAATATTCTACGAATACTTTGCTTTTTTACAGAATGATCTTTTAATAAATATCTGATCTATCTAAAGTATTTGAATGACCACTTTGTTCAGTTTCATATGCCAATAAATGATGATTACGGGAACACATCATAATTCCAAAGTCGTCATTACGACTTATACTTTATTTGCTTACTTTTAGTCAACAAATACATGCTAAAATTTCCAAAGCAAATAAGAAATCAGAAAAGAGAAAGTATTCAGAGAAAAGTGTAAGAATTTGGTCGTCTGGAAATTCTCGAGAGAATTTTCCAAATTGAGCACTGACTTCACTCTCTTTACTTCACATCCATGTCGATGCTTATATTTTAGCCTTCTTAGATTATTCAGAAATGCTTTTTCATCAAAATTTTTCTTTTGATATTTGCATATATATTATGTATCGTAACTGTTGCTTGATCTAATTCTTATATCTTCTCAGAATCAAAGCTCGTCTTGCGTATTACAATTATCTATTTGTAACAATTATGTTTCTTTTATGCACTGTGGCCTTATTTGCATTATTTTTACTTCATTTTTCCCCAAGAACTCATAAACTAAAATATATTCTAAATAAGTAATTATAAAAATTGAGCGTACTTTTAGAGCATGAAAACGTTTGTGATTAAGTACATTACTGACTAAGATAGAATCTGTTATCACTGATATCATCAATGCATTTTAAAGCAGTCCTTTGTTTTAAGAAAATAAAAGTAAACCTCGAGTAATTTTCTCAGTCATTTTTAGTTGTTCATTGTACAAATTACAGTCAAGAAACAATGTATTTTCTTTATCACATTCTAAGATTAGCTAAGTGAAGAAAAAAGAACAAAATATTACGAGCCTTTCTGTTGTGTGAGCTGTTTTCTTCAAAGGTTTTGAATTTGCCAATTTGAAATTTGGAAATTTAATTAGAAAGAAAAAATTTAATTTAAATATTTTCCTACTCCGTATAGTCTATGCAAAAGAAAAATAAAATTAAAGCAAAATTTCATTTTCAAAAAGAAATTAGCAGCTAACTTTCATTATTTCACTAACTGATATACACAAACAGTATTATATAACTGAGAAATTTGGAAAATTTTCTCAAAATGTACAATTACTAAAGCTATATAAGGTCATAGTTGAATTGATACAATATCAGCATGATAGCCCATTGCTGTGAGTACTCACTCACTTAACTCAGTTTCAAGCAAATTGTTCCCACTATTGGAATATCTATAATAAGTTAAAGTAACTGTGTAAAAAATTAAAATGCGAAAATAAAGCAATTAACAACTTTTTACTAAAATTTATTCTTTCACAATTTTGAAGCAAAATTTTTTCTTCAACTTCTCACTATGACTTTCTTCGAAATTCATCAAGAACAAAATTTTTTACGACTTCTTCCGCAATTTATTCGCAATTCATCGAGAAGAAAATTTTTGTGCTTAATTAGACTGCTATTAGCGAAAAAATCACAAAAATGGCTCATTTTTTTGAGACTTTCGTTCTAGAATCTTTTCAAAATGGATGTGAAGTAATAAAAAAGAAATGTCGCAGCATAGATTAAATTATTTACAACTCTTTTGCGGCTGTCACCTTGTCAAATCCTTCAAAATTATATCAAATAATAAAAATCGACGCACATTACAAGTTGAAATAAAAATAGTCGTAACTTATTGAAAGTTCAGTTGATTCGTGTGAATCTGTACAAATTTCAGATCTTTCGATGACCCCTCAACTAGCTGCATTTTCACGAATTGACTGATAATACCACATTGAATGCAATTAGACAATAATTACAGTAAAACTTTTTGCTTCTTGAGAAATTTGGCCTGGCAATTTCTGTAAGATATTGTGCAGCAGTGCAACATTAAAATTATAAAATCTTATTTTATGCAAGAATCGGATTCTGTGAGATAAGCACATCAAACACTTGATTTTACTGAAATTTATAATTATTACATAGAAATTTGAACTTGAGTTTATCACTTGATACATGTTATTAAGCATGCATTAGATATAGTTGCATCAAATGGAATTAATTTTTTGACTTTTTCAGGTTATTTATTCAAATTTATTATAATTGGTGATGCCAGTACGGGCAAAACTTGTATCTTGCACCAATTTATTGAAAATAGATGTAAGTTTTGTGACAAATAACATATGCGATAGCAACCCTAAATAATTTGTAGCTTTTTTCAGTTAGCTGACAAGGCAGTTCATTAGAATTATCACGCAACTTACTGAAATTAGTCTATTTTTAAAACTATCACCACTTTATGGCTCAAAATTTACAAATATGATCGTGAAAGTACCGAAATTGTAATTTGAAATATTGCTTGTGGTTACTTCTTTTTTATGCTGACCCATGTAATTTGTGATATTTAAATTTCGAAATTTAGTTCATGATTTGCAGTCAAACAAATAACACCCCACACAATTGGCGTAGAATTTGGCTCACGTGTATTGTCGATTGGTGGAAAACAAATTAAATTACAAATTTGGGATACTGCTGGCCAGGAAAGGTAACAAATATAGTACATCCTTCAACAAGCGTAATATATACAAACCTAAGCATCAGCAGTAACTTTTTGGTCCATACTGTTCTTAATAGGAACTGTAATATTAAAATGCTAGAATATTCTTCTCAGAAATATATATTATGTTTTTTAGAATAGTGCTAAAAAATTTTTCAATGCTTGTACATATATTTACATAGCTAGAACTTTTCGTTACGTTTTTAATATTTCAAAACGAATTATTACAGTGCCCCTGTTAAATGACTCTTATCTGTAGTTGAAAATTATTCAAATTCCAATTACAATCAGAGATAGCTCTCTCATACTACTTGTTATTCTCAACTTTCCTATTTTGCAACATTTACTTACAAAAAGATATTTGCAGATTTCGTTCCATAACGCGTTTTTATTATCGTGGAGCAGTTGCAGCTCTGCTTGTTTATGATATTACAAAGTATGTAAAAGAACTGTACCGTTTCGCTTTTTTTTCCTTTAGGTCTGAAATGTGCATCAGTAATCATTAAACAATCAGATTCTAAATCTAGTTTTATTCAATTTAGAAACTACTGCCATCATTGCTACTAAGCATAATATTATTAGAATGTATGGTTTTTATGCAAATTGCAAAAATCATATCGAGTGAATACGTTTCAGTCGTGGTTCCTACAATTCCATCCAAAAATGGCTTGCTGAGGTACGCAGCCTTACCGGTTCAAAAATCGTTATTATTTTAGTAGGGAATAAAAAAGATTTGGTGAGTGAACGTGAAGTGCGCTACTTGGAAGCAAGACAATTTGCTCAGGAAAATGGTTTGTTTGTAGTTATTTATGCAAATTAGTATTTTCTTCGCTACTGAAATTCCTACCAGTAACTAAGCATTACATTAATCGTTTGTTTCAATCATTAATAAACTCTCGCGTTAATTAGCACTTTCAATGACGCTTTTTTTGAGTTTACTTCAATTTTACGAGAACTTTACTAAATCTATTCTTCAATTCTTATCATTAATTTATTATACAATATTCACATTCGTATAGTAAAGTTTTTTTTAATGACTCTGAGTTATTGAATATAAATATAAAGCCAACAAGTTATTTTGTATTACCTCAAAAAAAACTGCATGAACTGAGTGGTTGCTTTTGCACGATTTTCCATTAAGGACTGATTGTGTTGGTTTTCGTATTTGTTTGAAAGTTCCAGTCTTGCAGAATTAACTTTCCTGGAAACAAGTGCACTTAGCGGAGAAAACATTTCGGAAACATTTTACACGTGTGCAAGAGCAATACTAGCAAGGATCGATTCAGGTTAGCATAAGTATGCTACGCTAGCTTATTTTCAATTTTAATGAGTCACAGACTAAATTTTTGATACACTCAGATAAAGTAACTCTAACACCGACAAAATAAATCATCAAATCCTACTAATCAGTCAATCACATATGTGATACAAGATCTACACAAGATAAAAAATTTTGAGATCAAAATGACTTGTTAGGAAAAGTGATATCCGTTGTTAGCTATTTTTTACTCCTCATTTCCAATTTTGATTTGATAATTTCAGGTGAAATAGATGTTGGGAATTGGTTCTCACGAGAAAACAGTTTATTTGAAAAACGTAAAAAATTCCAAACGAGTTGCTCCGCTATATGCAGCAGTTCATAATATTAACAAGCAATAATTACTAGTATAACAAGAAAAGTTGAATTCAAAATTTTATATCAAAAATGAAAAGACTGAAATTATTTCTAGAATAAAGCTCGAAATACATTAACAACGCATGCCCTCAAAATCGAACCAACACAGATATAGTGTGATTATCTACTGGCTCGGGGAATCAGCATTTGTGAATTAAGAATCCTACTGAACCATCCTATTTCATTTCTCGAAAAACTGTTTTCGTCCATACATATGTAAATTATTATAGAATACTACTGAAATATATATATTGCTGAACAATAACGCCAAATAATGACGTATTTACCGTCACTAGTTATTCAATAAAGCTTCTATAAACACAAAACATAAGGACACTTAACGAATAATAAGTGAAAATAAACTAAACATGGCATAGATCTGAACAATGTACAATGAATTTTATGTTCATAATAACTCAGAGACATTTCATATCTTATTTATCGATAACATCATATACTTTCCTAGTTATACAATAACAATACCAAAATGCTGAAAACTGAAAATTTTTTCAGAACAGGTGCAAAATTTTTCCTTATTTCATTACGATTCAGTTTTTGAAGGTTGATGAACATCGAACTTTTTATTCCATGACTCTCCATGTGAATCTCATTTCTAACACTCAATATTTTTTGAGAAGATAAAACCATATTGCTTTCGTTTCAAAATTTGTACTGATTTTATAACGTCAGCAAAAGTGCGGTAAAATATTCGAAAGTAGAGAAGCTTTGCAATATTTGAATTTCAATAAAAATGCAGAGAGAAAATCCCATAGCTCAAGGATAGAAATATGACAAAGTGTTATCAAACAAATTTAGAAGCAACACAATATCAAAGTTTAAAGCAATAACTTAAGCAATGGTTCAACTTCAAGTGCTCAATAACTAGTGATGAATCCTACCGCATGAGGATCTCAATCATCCGAAAAAGTCATATGGATCAGAACGTCCTCTTTATGTTCTATCTGTACACCTTTTGTCATCGCATCTGACAAACGACTGGCAAGATCTCGTAATTCAGAAAAAGGGCGTGCTGGTTCTCGTAACAAATCTACTGCTCGCACTCCAGCATCAGATAAAAGACATGGATCTAAAAGCAGCAACATAATATCAAAGTTCGAAGCAAAAATTCGACATCCAAACATAAATTTAGTTTGAATAATTAGCAACTTAGATATGTTCCGAAATTTCTTAAATATTTTTAAATTTGTGTCAATATATTTCCAAAAAAATTAACCGGCCGGAAAACATTTGCATAAATTCTTCTCGAAGAATAAAATAGGAAAAATAATGCTATATTTAATTTCAAAATTTCAAAATCAATAAATTATTCCCATAAAGATTCATGTTATTCTTATTCTGTGAATATTTGCGATAAATTCAATGAATACCATCATCCAAAAGCGGAGCAGAAACATGTTTTCTGAGCCTTAAATCATGTTGTTTGATTGCATCACTATATTTTTGGGCTTTTAATAAATCTTCTTTAGACGGTACTGTTCCGCCATCTATATTGGCAACATCTATTATGTTCTGAAATACATTAATAATAGCGTATACTGCTCATAAATATTACTCACTTAACGAATGATATATTTTCTGTCTTTTAATTCAAAATAACCAAATAAAAATGATACTTGCTGAGTAGTTTCCAAAATCTGATTTAATAATTCATCTTCTTCATTGTCAGGTTTGAAACTATCAGGACCACTCGATGAGTAATGAGGTCGTGGTATATTTATCGCCCTATCATCTACCCAATAACTATCAGCCAAATCAGAAGACCTTTAAAAAATATTCTATTGTCAATGTGAGAGATCTCCAGATAATTATGCTACAATCTTCATCCAAACCACCTTAACGGGAAATACACATATACAAATCCTGAAGCGCCTGTAAACGAAAAATACATTAGCGCCATTAAAAATGAAAAGCAATATACGTTTGCTGCAGCTTATTTACATAAGTTGCTCACTGAGAAGAACCTTTTCAACACTCTTGAATCTATATTTTAATTACTTTTTGTTGACATTCATATCGCAAACAAAGTTTCTGAGCCAACTTCTTTGCTGATGCCTTTTTCTATTCCGGATGATTTAACTAGATAAAATAAAAATAAAAAAAACTTTATTTAAAATAAGAAAGTTCCGCAATATTTCCAAGTAATACTTAACTCTAAAAGGTTTAAAAACAGAATAAAATTGAGAACAGATAAAAATTTTGATAGATTTGAATAAATCAGAACTTTGACCATATTCAGAAATGCTTATTCGAACAGATTATTAAATAAAGCAGACAAAAATTAATGCAACTCAAAAAGTTAAAAGTACTTCAGGACTAAAAACTAAAATATAGCAAATGATAAAATCAGTACAAAAATAAAGCCAACTTACACTGTTGCTCCGAAATGATCGTTATCTCTATCAGTAATCAAAGGCCTTTCGTCTACATCATCTTCTGCCTTGCAACAACATAAAGTTCGTATAGCAGTATACATTGATAAAGTCTGAGAGTTTGAAAATTGCCCCCACTGACTGTAATTTCAATACTTGTAAGAGTTAAAGGAAACAAACAAAATATTAATAACAAACTATTTACTTTGTATTACAATTCATAAAATATCAAAAATACAGAACCACACAATACGAAATGATTTCAACGGATGACTTTTTCAACTTGGAAGGTCTACTCTTCATTCGAAAATACTTTATTACTCATAATTACGTTAATCCAGCAAATATTAAAGGCTAATCCAATTAGCACTTCGACTCACTTTCCATCTTCATCAGACCACAATACCTTCGTAATATTTTACTTGTACAAAAACATTATCATAACTAGTAGTTTACCTTTACCACATCACTCGACTATCACTAATGATTAATAAATTCAAACCATGAAAAGTAGTAAATAAAAGAGTACAACTACTTCTGAAACTTAAATGCTCCGTCGTCAATTCATTCATTGTTGCGATGGAACGAAATGCAATCATTCATCTCAAAAAGTTAAAAGGTTAATTTTTTTAGCCAAATATTTATGTTATTCAAATAATATTCATTTATTGTACAGGAACAGTTCTCAAATATTGTCCAACAAAGTCATGAAATTCTTTATTTCTTTCACTCATCAAAATGAATTCAACGAATCATGTATGTGAGGATTTGCATTAGGATTTGATTTGATCGCAATTAAACAACCACTCAATTTATTATAATCACTTAATCTTATCTCCATTTTCCAAGTCAAACAAGTTTTCTTCATTGCTTTTATCTGTCTTGAAAGTTACAATTATTGCTTTGATTACTGCAGTTATAAGAATGAAAATAATAATAATTGTTTCAGCTAATTGGACAACAGTAATAAGGATAATCAGGTTAATCTAATTAGCATTATTATCGCTAGCTAAAATTTAATGATTGCAATAATCTCAGTTATGGCTCATTCTACAACATTTCTTTTTATCTGTCATGCAAAATTTCAACTTATCATTTGTTTTTACAAAAAATAGCAGCAAAAGTTTTAGCAAATTTTTTATGTTTGTTAATCTTTTAAAAGTGTTTTCAAATTTTTTAACATTATTTCAAATTAATCTTGCAAAAATATGAATATTTTATACACTTAAAAATAAGAATACACAAATATAGGAGTCTGCGAAACTGCTAGTGCCTAACTTAATACAAATTAAGTTATAAACTCTGACCTCATGCACACTTGCATTCTTCCGCTCTTGAATTTCACTACTGACTAGCAAATTATTAGAAAGTGAAATACTAAAAGGCTTTTGCTGAGTTATTGACAATCGCTGAATACAATTCAATTGAAATAAGCATAAAACTTCCTTGCATTGAACTTTATTTGCTTTCCTGATGTTCCCATTCTGTGTTCTTAAGTTGCACAAATGAATTTCAGATTATTACTCAGATCAAACTGATAGTTTTCATTCAGCAGAAGTATGGAACAAATTTGTGCGAAAGTTGCACAGATAAATAAATGCTTTTCAGTGAAATTAACTTCTCACTCCTTTAATTTCTCAGAAAATGCTAATTTTTGAAGCTGATTTTTCTAAACTTCATATACCTTTTACTTAAGTTGCACAAAGAAATTTCAGATTATTAAAAAATCAAAATTATCGGTGATCTGTTTTTAATAACACTTATCAGTATCAAAATTAACTTATCATATTACTTCAGTTTATGTCTTCTAGCAACTCACAGGTCATAGGTCATAAGTCATAATGATTTAAAATTGTTTCTTATTTACGAATAATTTGTAATTTTCTCACCAAATTAATCAATCAAAATTTGCATATGGTCAAAATTTTTTTGCAAATAAATTTTTAACATTACAGAATAAATTTATTAAAGATTTTTGAAAAGAAAACCACTACATATGTTTTTCAAATTATTCGTTGTTTTTTCAAAATTCTTTACATATCCGTTTTATTTGCTTTTTTCATCTATATTCTGCTTTTTTTTTGCAATTAATTACTCAGTACTTTTTTCTTATCATTCAAAAAATGCAACTTTAATTTCAAATTTTTGATCTGACACATTAATAATTTTTCTAGTTTCCATTGTCATATTTGTTCTCTACAAACGTGGAATACGATTACTTGAAATGAATTTCAAAACTCATTTTTTTAATTAGAACGAATTCAATAAATAACTGGTCTTGACTCTATTCTCTGCTCAACTTTAACTAAGCTCACACTTAAGCTTACAAGCAGGCCTCAAAATTTACTTCAAAAACTGAACTTGATGTTCAAACATTCATTAAATAAATATAACTAGGAAAAAAAACACAATCTTATATTGATAATATATAGATGGAAGTGATATCGGATCTTATATATATTTATATATATCTCTTCCATCTATATATTATCATACGTGGCATCTATTCACTTGATTACTACGTGGGTTTATACTTGAGTGCATTTCACATGTGCCCATTGTCCACTTACCGTTCAATATTTAATATTACCTTTAAATATACAAAACCATTTTTTGCAGACAAAAAATAAGATTGTGTGTAACACTGCAACTTGCGAAAGTAAAGCATAAAAGTCAAACATTTTTGTTTACGAATCTACGTTAACTCAAACTATGCTAAGAGTGGCATTTACTTACTTTTGTCAGATAAATTGTTTAATTATTGAATTTTACACAAAACAAATTCATTCTGCTTCAAATTAACAGCTACTAAACTATTGTTTATACATTCAGTTTATAGTAGTAAATGACGTGGTATATGCAATTTCTGCGTGACCTTCAAGAAATGTTTCACTTTCTTGACTAGTGCAAACAAAGCGAAAAGATGGCGTTCAGGCAGTAACCCCATTTCTTTCGCATTCTTTCAAAAAGAGCAAACAATAATTATTTACCTGTTTCTGTGGGTCACTTTAAGATAGATAATCTATTTCTTTCCATGCACAAACATGCAGACATACACACACGTACACACATACAAACAAATGCGTAGTTGGAGGCTAAAATTTAGGAAATACACGGAGTACACGTGCTGTAAACAACAGTCGCGCACGCCCACTCACATATCACACACACATACACTCCCATACATAAGGCAGAGAAATGAAGCAAATTGAATGGCTCTTTTCTTCTGCAACGTACCGAATGCTTACAATGTGCTGTTGATGACATTATCTGCAACGACTCAGTTATTAAATTTTAAATTATAATTTACTTCCGAATATTTCACTTAATACAATTCTCTCATACTTCTGTAATTGTCTAATTCATTTCACTTAACTTTTCTCAGTTCTTTGATTAAAAATTAATTATTTTTTCTAAAACTGTCGAAAATAAATTGAAAAAATGTGTTCAGTTTGTCACTGCACTAATTTCATTTCTCTGAAAATATGCGTTTTCATTCCATCATTCATTTTTCTCTTTTTCTGAACACTCAACTGATTTAATCAAATTTGTCTAACTTTTATACATTGAAAAATAATGAATTTGAAAACATTTCTTCTGTAAAAACATTTGAATTTAAAAATTCTTGTAAATTCAATTCTCGCGGTTATATTCTCGATTACAAAGCAGTCTAGTAATGTTTAAGTTATTGCTACATATTGTATATCTATCTATCTATCTATAATTGATTTCACATTATTGTCAAATATGGTTGTTATATTTTCCTGTGTTATAATACTCCTTATTTTATTATTTTTTCAAATTAATATATTCTCTTTTAATATTGATAAGCTACAAAAGTTTATATTCGAAATGAAAAAAAATTGGGTGGGAAAAATTTGCAATTTTGCGATATGTATAATTTATAAGACAGACATTCAGCAGCTACAGGCCACTCATATAGGAAGGAGATGATGATTTCACGTGCTAATTATTACTTCAATTTGCTCTCTAAAGCATAACACAATTCTTCATTACATTGATCATTCTTCGTACGAGTTACTCACGTTACTCACGTTTTTATTCTTTTATTTTTGCTACTTTATTTATGCTCAAAAATTTAATTTTTACAATTTTTAACACTTTTTTTTAAAAAAACATTCAATTATTATTGATCATTCTAGCATATTTTATTGTTTTCTGCAAAAAAGTAGTGCAGCATTTGTTTAATAAGTTCTTTTTTTTACAAAACTTTCATGAGTTTTAGAAAAATATTAAAAAAGCAATATTTTGCTTTATTTATTATTTTATGCAAAATTTATCAAACACAACAAAGAAACAAAATGAGCATAATTTATTTCAAAAAATTAAAAAACAATGTTATTAAGACAATATGAGATGGATTTAGCTTATTGTAAGCTCTTAGTAATTGTAATTTTGAAGGAAAGCGTGTCAGCTTAATATTTCAGATAGCTCTCAGCGTTTTTTCACTTCCAATTGATTATCTTATTAATATGAGTAGAACAAGCAGAAAGTATGATTTTTGAAAAAAAGATTGTGCATGCGACTATTTTAATTCATAATTATCATTTGTGTCAGTGTGCTTAGAAGTTAAATTTCAGCAAATTTTCTATAAATTAAACAATGGAGTTGTCATTTTTCGCATACTTTAATTCAATTTTTGCGCATAATTTGATGAATTTACTCAGTTAATTGAATTAATAGTTTCTATCGCAGTTAGCTTAAAAATTGACTTACAGATGCGATGTTCGCAAGTTTTACGTTATCGTTATCGCTCCCCTTAATATTAACTAACATATTAAGTAGCAAATGTGAAAGCAATGTAAGATTTGATTGCAATGATGTGAGTAATTATGACAACAGCGTCACTTCAACTCTTATTTCATATTCTGAATTCAGCAATTTAATTGCTACTGATTCTATCACTGGTATGTTTTTTTTTCTGTTCATTTTGTCGTACAAACTTTTTTTTGTTTCAAACAAGTTTAAACTTGAGATCTTTGTTCTCGGAGGAAATATTGTTGTTTTTATCAACAGGAAGAGGAATGATTCGTGTATTTTATTTACACAAATTGCACACAAATGTTATAAAACAATTTGATATTTATGAGCTTATTTTGATATGTTGTAGCCAAGTATGATGTTATTCACTGTTATTTCAAATAAAAAAGCAAATTTTTTGTGCAAAAATTAATTTACAGATAACGTAGTAATCTATTAGAGGAAAAATTGCAATTATGAGGTATTAATAATTTATAAATTATAAAATTGACCTTTGACTTATGTAAATTTCAGTTATGGAAAGTAATGAACAGATATCGATGTATAATTTATGGTCCTATTTACTGTATCAGTGGAGTATCGTTTTGTATTTCGTACCATTAATTGTTATAATATTGTGTAAATGTAAAGTAATTAATTGTGATGTACGACTGATTTACGGCAATATGCCTGATGATGCTGTGTAGTTTTTCTTACTATTTACTTTATTGTATTTTTAATAATTTTAAATCAGTTGATAAAAGTTGAAAAGTGGATTTTATTCAGTTTTCATAAAAAAACAAGCAAGTAAACATAGACATAAAGACAAGATCACTCAATATGTACGCATTTTAAAGCTATTTTTGGATAATCCATGCCATCCAATATACAATCTTTTTCCTTCTGAATTGCGCAAATAAGTACTTCAGTAATAATTAAGCTGCTTGCTTAATCTTCACAGAATTAAGCTGTTTTGGAGCTAGGTCTATTGTTTCTGAATTTTTTGAAAATTTGTTTTTTTCGATATATTTGTAGAAGCGTTGACTTAAGTATAGTTTAAAAGTTTCATTCTTTTTTTCAAATTCAATCTTAATGGCCATTTTTTCAATCTTAAGAAGAACATCATTCATAGTACATTTAAGTATATTATGGACGATCTACTTAAGTATATTGAAAAGTAATAATACTTTTGCTAAAATAAGATGAAGAGATGTTTGCAGAATGCTAAGATCAGAAGTAATTCAGACCATTTCTATAATAGGTAATGATAAGGGCGAAGTGTAATTTATCTCAACAATTATTTGATTGAATGTGCCACTAAACGTTCATTTTATTTTTGTAATATAATAAACTTAAATTATTTTAATATAAAATAATTTTATTGGCCATATTATTGTGATAGAATTTTTCGCAAACAACGACGACAATACTTTTAAATCAGATCACCGAATTGGATGACCGATTTATTTATCAACAAATCATATTTTATGAAGAAATTGGAAGTAATTTTGTGAAAATTCGTACATATACCATTTATTCTTTTCATGATTTTATTATCAATCAGACAGGTTCCACAAAAATTGGATCCAATAGACCTTTTTGCTGCAAAATTAATAAAAAATCAGCACAATCTCAAATATACATTAAGAATTCTAAAACTTTGCGTCGAATAAAACTTCGCCAGTAAACTGTCAGGGAAAAATAAAGATAGGATTGTGAACAAATACACTTATAAAGACAAAACGTTACACTCTGAATTTTTTTAGCTTTTTAAAAAATGATAGATAAAATTGAACCTGAAAAAAATTAACGAAGTCAGATTTGCGAATATAGCCGTCGCCATCCCTATCCAATGCCTAAAAATGTTTGCTGTAAATGAATATTAATTAAAACCAAATCCAACTGCAATAATTGACAAATCGCGTTGATATCCGCATTTTTCGTCCTTTTCATCTATTTTTTTAATTTACAAAACAAAAATTTTTTTAATCACAAAATTGGCGAATTTATTTGCGCAATTGTTGAAAACTTTATTCGCAGGCAGTAACTAAATGATTCATGCAAATAAGATTACCTTCAGTTGCGTTCGCAGCCAACTTAACTTCAATTTTATATATGAATTTTACATTTTTTACAAAGCAAGTAGCTCACTTGTATTATTAATAACTTGTTTTACATTAACAAATTTTATTTCTTAGCAACATATCTATAATGCTCTACAAAAAATACACTGTTTCAAGCTTTGTAAAAAAATATGGTGTACGTGTCGTTGCTATAAAGATTTAATTGCAATTCACAGCTGTGAGTTTTCTTCAACAAATTTATAAAAAAATCACTCAAATAATCTACTGAAAAAACTACATTCGTTCAATTTACTGACTTCATTAGCAAATAAAAACAAAATAAGAAGAAGAAAATAAAAAATGAAAAATAATGAATGTTTAATTTTGTTTAAACATAAATTCAATATAAGTTTTGGACAAACCTTTTATTCTATTCTTTTTCATTTATGAGAAAAAGTTTGTTGATAAAAGTAAAATTAAGTAAACCCCTTTATGAATGACATCCATAATTTCCCAGCAGAAGTAAATGTTTATAATAACAGCTAATTGCAAAAATCATCTCCTCTGAAGCTTTCCATCTCAGTCTTACAAGATTAATATTTTCTAACATATTAATTCAAATGTAACATGCACAGACTCATTCCCACTTCTGCAAGTTATCATACACTTCCTCGTACTTCATATAAGTTAGTGCACTTGCTGACATCAGATGCTCGTTAGATTGAGCTAGCTCAAGCTGCATAGATCCTAGCCATTGCATGATGACTGAGAATGCATGCTATTTACAAAATAGCTTATTATAGCGTGAAAAATGTTTGAGTGAAGCTAAGAACTGATATTTCTGTATATAATAAATAAGTTATTTGCATACACTAATTTACTACCGAAATCGAAGTTCTTCCTTTGCATGTCATGCGCTTAACTTCAACATAAATTTTGAAGAAACCTCTCACTCTATTTTTGGTTTGTTTTTATCTCCACTATCACACTGCAAACACAGCACTTCTTATCTAATCACCGATGGATAAATAAATCTTAAACTTTGGTAGGTCATGCATTTATAGTGACCTCAAGATAAGTAAATATGTGCTGTGCCGGAATTTAATGCATATCAATGAACAGATCTAATCCAACTAGAACTACTTTAGTCTTTATATGAACATATAAGGCATGTAACTATGTCATGTATATTTCACGGAAAAAATATTTCACGGGAAAATAATTCACGGAAAAAATATAATCTTACTCTTCTATTCCACTCAGACAAAACTTGTAAAGATATAATTCTCTCCAAGTGGTCCCAAACTCTTCTCAACATTTGTTCTATTCAAAATCGTCAAGTTTAGAGCAACTCTTAAACAGCACTTATAATGTGTTCTGAATAATACTTATTCATTTTAATGGAGCAATCAAAATTCGGAAAATAGCAAAACTCAAACAAAAACTTCACGTAATAACACATTATTTATCTAACAGATGGCTTGTTTTTCTTTCGTACAATAATTATGCACAATTAATGCAAATTGCATGATGTTAGCAGTCTAATGTATCTATCTTCTGCGCATTTGTATTTTAGATGTATACATACTCCTTCGATTTGCACATCTACGGACAATATCAAATCATAAATCAAACGTTTTACGTCTAACATCTTTGTGAAGTACAGTGAGCCAATTAGCAGCTAAACTGTGTAAGTTGCGAAAAAATCGAGTAGCACCTATTTTTTGAATCCTTGCAAATTTTTAGTTCTTGTAGTCAATATTATTGTAGTTCAAAATTTTGATTTTCTTCCTAAAAACAAAATGCTAAATAGTACTCGATTTTTTCGCAAGTTTTAAGATAACCCTTTGCTTACAAGGAATCGTTCGCTCAAATTTTACATCTAATCTATACTAACAGAGT